CATCTTCCTCATCAACATCATCATCATCATCATTATTATTATTAGAACAATTTAAATAAAATAAATTTTTTTTTTTGTGTTATTAAAAAAATTATTTTTAAATTATCATTCAAATAAATAAAAATTCATAACTTTAACTTATTTATTTATTTATTTTTAAATCAAAAACTTATTAAATAAGTAATTAAGTAAAATAAATAATAATAATAATAATAATAATAATAATAATAATAATAATAATAATAATAATAATAATAATAATAATAATAATAATAATAATAATAATAATAATGTGGTTACAACCGACAAATTGATTTAAAAAAAAAAAATTATACTCTTATATTTTTTTTTTTTTGTAAAAAGATTCGATATTGACACTCGCAATTATTCATTTATTTAATTAAATTAATAAATGTGGGGATACGGTGGGGGAGGGGGGGTAATTCGAAAACGCGAAAAATTATTTAATAAAATTTTTAATAAAATTTTTTTTTTTTTTTTTTAATTTAAATTAAAATGAAATTATTATTATTATAATATTATAATTATGACAAAAAGGAAATATTTCAAATTATTATTATTATTATTAAATTTTTTTACAACAAATAATTGTGCGGAAACAAAAAAGAAAGACATTAAATATATATATAATAAAAAAAACAAAATGGGGGGAAAAAGTATTATTATTATTATTAAATAAAAAAAATAAAAAATTCATTTCCACGAGTCAAATATTTCTAAAAAGGAAAAACAAAAAAAAAAAAAATTTAATTTTTTATTTTTCCTTCTTCCCTCCTTCTCTTCCCTCCTTCTCCTCCTCCTCTTCCCTTTTGCCCTTTGCCCTTTTCTCCCATTTAAGTAAATTTTCACGAGGAAAAAAAAAAGAAAATTTAAAACATTTCACTCAGTATACAAAAGTTTTCCCTTTGAGATAAAAAAAAATTTATTTATTTATTTATTTATTATTATTCGTCACTTTGTCATTTTATGCTTTAAAAAAAAAAATTTACTGGAGGGAGGAGGAGGAAGGAGGGGGCTTGTTATAAATCAAAAATTATTTTATGAATCTGTACACATAAAAGAGAAGAAACTTACAAAAGGTTTTCCTTTTTAATCGAACACATAGGCAAGAACCTTTTTAAATAAAAACTTATAAATTTTTTCTTCTGCTTCTTTCCAGACATGAGAAATGAGGTCAAACATGGCGTAAACAAATTTTTACAAATTTAATTAAACGTTCATTAAATTCAAGAAGTGAATGAAAGAAAATTAATTTAAGATCAAGTAACTAGATTGATTACCCATAAAAAAATTAAATTAAATTTTCTTTTCATTTGTTTGTTGTTGTTGTTGTTGTTCAAGAGGAATCATATAAACCAAAAAACATAAACAATTGGTTTAAATAATAATAATAATAATAATAATCAGTGACAAAAGAAAATGTTTTTTTTTGAAACAAATTTTCCACGTATAAAATTTAACCAAAAAACTTCTCAACTGATTTTTTTTTATTTATTTATTTTATTTAACTTATTTATTTAATTTATTAAACAATTAACCGTTAATTGTTGTTATCAATTCAATTTTTTTTTAAAAATCATTTTTATCATAAAAAGAAAAGCAAAAAAAAAGAAAAAAGTTTTTAATTTTTCACTTAAAAAAAAACAATACTTAAATTTAATTATCTTTTTTTTTCTTCTTCTTCCTTTCTTCTAATTAAATTTAAAAAATTACATTTTTGAAAATAACCTTTGACCTTTTCCCCAATCGTTTTTGTTTTAATTTTTTGTCCATGTTTGAACAACATATTTTTATGAATGAAATTTTTTTCTTTTTCTTTTTGATAGTAATAATTTTATCATTAGTTTATTTTTGAATAATTTTAATTTAAAAAAATAAATAAATAAGATTTTATGTATATATATGTATGAATATTCAAATTTAT